TTATTTTCCGAGAATTGGGTGTTTTATTTGGGTATGGGGGCGCTTGGTGGTTTTCCCCAGGGGTGGTACTTGGCACCAGTTTGGGTACATTTCTCGGCAAGTACGTGTTATTTTCTGGGGTTTTACGGTTAAGGGTTAAGGGAGTTACCATGGGACGCCTAAAGAAGTTCTATGATTGGCTAATTTTGCAGATAGCTGGAATTGGAAAGTTTGCAGATAGCTGCAACTGCAAGAGTGATCAGCTCTTTGCAAAAGCAATTTCTTAATGATTTCATAAACTTGCGGTTATTATATTGCTAAAGCAGTTTCTGTTGTAGCCCTTAGCATTGTTTTTTATTTTTCCTCCCCCCTCCTCTGGCCATTACCCTTGACCGAGTTTGGCAGAGAACTGTGTTGTTCAGTCTTGCTCAGGCCTGGGCCTGTACTGCTTTGTGTAAGGGTAGTTAGCATAACAGATCTCTGTTGGAGGGTTTATTTCGGGGCCTTCAGACTCTAAGCTTTGGCTATTAAAAAGAAGCCCCCCCCTGTTCTATTTCCCCACACATGCGAATTGAAAATTCAGTTCCCATGAATGCTCATGCAGTAAAACTTAATCACACAAATGTATGTAACAAGCAAGCACAAGCATACCCATATTAAAATCCAAGCAATTATCCAGGCACTTTTTTGTATTGTTTGGCAGTAATCATTTGACAGAAATGTGTGAAACTAAAGTGGTTTTCGTTCAAAGGGGAAGGAGGGAATACTTTTTTATTTAGTTTTGTGGCACCTGAATTGTACAATTAGTTTGGAACCCCAAAACTATAACATGGCCCAGCTTTGCTGCAAACTTACCGGTATTTCAGCTTCACCAAAAGCTTTGTTGCCATCGGTGACAGTTATTCCTCTGTAGAAGGCCCACACAAGTTCTATGAATTGCTTAAATCCCAAGTAAACCCAATTTTGAGGACTTAAGTGGGGCCTGATGTGAAAGAAATAGCTCAAATGAGAATTTTGGCTCAGCATAAACTTTAATTTTGTTTTAAATGAAATGTATGTCGATAAGATATGAAAGCAACTCTTTGCTTCATGGTCAAAAATCACTAGGGATTGATCATGATCTTGCCCATGCACCCCCATAGTAAGTTCTCTAATTTTTTTGGTTGGTAACCTGTCACGGACTAATTACATTTATTTCCAGTATTTTGAGAGACTGTATGAGTGTGGGCGAAGGACAAACTTGCTGACTAGGCTGTTAACTATTTTTGTGAGTCTGCTTAGGCCTACAATGAACACTGATGAATATTCAATTGTGCGCTGACTTATAAAAGGAATTGCATAGGATGCATGTCAACATGGTATTTAACCCTTAAGCTCTAAATATCTTGATTTTTTTTTTAACTTTCTCATAATGAATATTGCATCAATGTCTTTTCCCCACCCTGGATATCCACCCGTGTAGCATCATGTCATCAGTGAACGTGAGGACAATAGTTGGTGTCATTAGATTGCCCAAACCAACCCAAAACCTTCTCAGCTTCTTTATAAATCTATTTTTAGCACAAAAGAATGTGACTGATATTCTGGTGCAATAATGAATGTTGGGTTGAGAGTAGGAGGCTCGCAATATGAACTTTGTCCTCGCTGTACAGAAAATGATAATGGAATAAAACACATTGCAATCTGTTTGACTACTTAGAGGTACTTGCCTCTCACTTCCAGTTCTGGTGTGCCAGACTGAGCACACCATGTGAATATTTCTCTACAGAAAATGGAAGACGGTTCAAGGCTTAACTTTCACAGTGTCATTCTTCTGTTTCTTCAAACGTATTTTTGAGTCATTCAGGACTTTGTCTTGAAGCTTGAATTTGGCACTGTGTCAGTGTCCATAAAACTTATTTTTTTTGTGTTTCCAAAAAAAAATATCCTTGCACTGTCGGGCTCATAACAAACTGTAATATTTTAATTGCTTCTCTGAAAATGATATTTACTGCCTGAATGAACAGCCATGTTAATCAGAATGTTTCAAAACAATGTGGAGAAGATGGCCTGTTTCCTCAAGGGTGGCTGGCCGCTATCTCTCAAAGAGGATGGGACAAGAGGAGGCATGAAAAATATCTAAATGAGCTAGTTATAATTAAACAGTGCTATCCAGTGGAGTGGTCGTTCTCATGAGAAAATTGACAGAATATTAAGCATTCTAAGGCAAAACCAAGAAGAGATGATCTTGACAAAGTCAGTTTTTGAACTTCAATGCTCACTTTATGGAGTATTGGCATTTAAAAACAAACAAGCAAATAAAAAAATCCTCCCAATGAACTCTTCTCCTTGCCCCAACCCATCAAATTCACATTGTTTGAATTCTATGGCCATGTATCACAGTTGATTGTGACAGCAAAGTTTTGATTATGTAACAAAATATATTATGATCTATTGTTTTTAATAATAGAATAAGTGAAATCAGTTAGATTTCTCTAACTAAAGATGGATTTAAAGGAATTAATGATGGACAACGAGGGAGGGTGGTGGATAGTGAGTGGAAGACACAGACTTGGGGCTGGTTCCTATGCTCATTGAAGGTAATAGAGAACCTTTTTTAGACTTCCATGCATGTACTATCACAGAGGTGGGCAAACTACTGCCCACGGGCCACTTCTGGCCCGCGGGACCGTCCTGCCTGGTCCCCAAGCTCCCGGCCCGGGAGGCTAGCCCCCGGCCCCTCCCCTGATGTCCCTCCTCCCCTGCAGCCTCAGCTCGCTCCGTCGCTGGCACAATGCTCTGGGCGGCAGGGCTATGAGCTCCTGGGGCAGCGCAACTGCAGAGCCTGGCCTGACCCAGTGCTCTGAGCTGCATGGTGGCGGCGGCGGCGGCAGCGTGGCCCGGCTGTAGCGCCGTCAGCCACCGGTGCTCCAGGCAGTGTGGTAAGGGGGCAGGGAGCAGGGGGGGGTTGGATAGAGGGCAGGGGAGTTCGGGGTGGTGGTCAGGGGGCGGGGCTGTGGATGTTGATCAGGCAGAAACAGGGGGTTGAATGGGGGCAGGAGTCCCAGGGGGCAGTCAGGAAGGAGTGGGGGTTGGATGGGGCGGCAGGGAGCGGTCAGGAGCAGGGGTTCCTTGGGCAGTCAGGGGACAGGGAGAAGGGGTGGTTGGATGGGGCAGGAGTCCTGAGGGGCCGTCAGGAATGAGAGGAGGGGTTGGATGGGGCAGGGAGTCCCGGGGGGAGCCATCAGGAATGAGAGGAGGGGTTGGATGGGGCGGCGGGGGTCCGGGGGCATTCAGGGGACAGGGGGAGTTGGACAGGGCAGGAGTCCGGCGTGGGGGGGCAGATAGGAAGTGGGGGCTGGGCCACGACCCCCTCCCCTAACTGGCCCTCCATACAATTTACAAAACCCGATGCGGCCCTCAGGCCAAAAAGTTTGCCCGCCCCTGTACTATTAGCTACTTAACCCTCCATCCTGCAAGATCTGGAGCACCTTTGGTTCCCATTGAAGTCAATGAGCATTAAAGGTGCTCAGCATCTTGCAAGATGGGGCCTTACTTTACTAACTTTTTTGCTGTGATTTTAATCCCCAATTGACTATTTGCTCAGAAGCTGATGAGATTAGTCCCTGTGACTTTTTTGGGGGGGGGGGGAATCACCCAGATCATTTACTCATTAATACAGGGGAAACGGAGTTCAAGTTATTTATATCTATATGAACCTGTACTTTCACATTTTTTCAAATCTGGAGTTTTTATTATAGTGTGTAGAATACAAAATATACAGTCTAGGACACAGTACTCAGTTGGGGTCTGGCATTCAGTGTATGCATTCAGGCATATACCAAGTTTTAATCATGGGCTTTAAGGCTTTAAGAGTCCTTGTTTTTTTCAGTTGAAAGATTTATATGCTGGAGTGATAAAATGAAAAAGAAATATGTAATGTTCAAATCATCAAAGGGTCAAGGAGATGGCATTTCTCGAAGATGTCAGAAGACGTCATTATATGATTGGAGGTGTCTTATAAATCCATATCAGATTACCCTCCTATTTTCTTGCTGACCACTAGGGATATGAAACTGGCTGGTATTTGCTACTGTTCTTAGTTATACATGGAGATGTTCGTGTATTTATGATAAAATACTTTGTATTGCTTTTCAGAGGCTTTTGTACCCCAGCCTCTGAAAGTTACCTCCTGTTGTTGCAGGACCAAATCCTGACATGCTTACTCTGCTTTTACTCTGGTTCAGTTTTATTTCAGTGAAACTTTTGTTTCAGAAAGGACAGAGCTAAAATTGATAAGACTCTAAGATTTCCCCTATCATTTTAAAATTCAGTCATAGTGCCAGGATCCTCCTCCTTGGCAGAATGTCTACTAATATTTTTCACTTCGTGCAGTCTGGATCCTGGGACAAGGGTCTAAACCAAAGAAGGGCAGTGCACTGCCATACTCAGTGAGAACTGCTCAGAATCTCTCAGGCAGGATCAGTCCTATAATCGTGGGCTTGTTTTTGTGCTTATCTGAAATGATTTGTGGCTTTGCCCTGATGCTCTGCAGTAGTAGCACCCCTCCTTTATTTTTTCAGGCAACTGCTACAGTTTACAAAACTTAAGAGCTTAATTCCCATGTCATTTGCACCATTTTACATTGATGTAAGTCCACTGATGTTAAAGGAGTTCTCAGCTACTCCTGGTTTATTGCAGTGTGAGAGGAAAGTCAGACCAAAAGCACCATATAGAACCCTCCTGCAAAAGCCCTGAAGTACCAGTAATGGCATGCATATACCAGTGGCTGGGAATTTCTGTTCTACAGACACTGGCTAAAGGAGGCTTCAGGACTTTGCAATGGAAGTTTCCTAGGTGAAGGAGAGTTTACTGTTGTATTTGAAAGCCTTTGAGAAATCATCTGACGGTGTACAAGTCTCTGACAATGAGCATAAAATGACAGCAATACATATTTGAAAACTAGGCTCTCTTTCATTGTTATGCTGATGATTTACTGGTCTTGGTTTTGTCTTTTTGTCAACTCCTCATCTCCATGACAGGGATTTGGGAAACAAGTGGATGTGTCATATATTGCCAAACATTACAACATGAGCAAAAGCAAAGTTGACAACCAGTTCTACAGCGTGGAAGTAGGTGACTCAACCTTCACCGTTCTCAAGCGCTACCAGAACTTAAAACCTATTGGCTCTGGTGCTCAGGGAATAGTTTGGTAAGTCTCTTCAGTTTCTTTTATTTATGCTTTTAAATAGGATATGCCTTCTGCATTTCTTTGGAGTTTGCTAGCTCCAAACATTGTAAAAATAACAGTTAAACAGCAGACATCCCTAGAGAAAAAGAGCCTAGTGTTCCTCTAATAAATGTTCTTGCTGTTGTGAATGGCAGCATTGGGTTTGTTTCTCACATAGCAAGTATTAACTAGCAAGAAAGTGGGAGACAGATCTTACAATAATTGACAACTGTAGCCCTTATTTGCAGCAGAAGTGCAAATTATATATCAAACAGACCCTGTAATTTCTACTCCTGGCGCAATAAAAGTCACGGAGATCTGTTTAGAAACAAGTCACATCCCATAGGCATCTTGAAGCTTTCACATATCTGCATGACAGATAATGTTTTTCTTTATTTTAAGTGACATTTCAATGCAATGTTTAAATAATCCAAATGAATGACAGAAATGTAATAGCTGATATTATGTAATATATACCATTAATAGAATTCACAGAGTAAATAATCATTTAAATAATCACATTAAAAGCTTATGTGACATTTTCTTTTACATTTGTTTCTGCAGTTTTAGAGATGGTCCTTTCCTTTTGCCAGTGGTTTATAGTGTGAACCCCTGTCCAGTGGTACTCAGCATATTTGTTTTAGACAGCAAATAGTTCTTTCCCCCGCCCCCCCAACTACTTTATCATAGATGTCATTTTCTGTCTGTCTTCTCTAACACTGCAGTATTGTGAATTTAATGTAATGCTACCTTATCATGGGAGAGAATGGCAGAAACATGAACTTTCTCTAACACAAAGGCAAGTGCAATTCCATAGATTGCTCAGCATGGACACTAAAAATTAGCAGTGAACCATGGCATCTGTACCTTCAACCCCTTCCAAGTCTGCATCACTTACAGAACCTATGCCACTTCCACTGACCAAACTGTGTAATTTCAAATCTGCTTCATGGCATCAAATTGAGAATTTATTTATAGTTTTTATCATACCTTTTTTTCCCCAATTTTTTTACAATCAGATTTTAGAAAGAAATATAATGTATGTATTAAGTGCTTTTGTTTGTTTTCCCAGGATGTTTCTCCTTCACTACCTAGCATTAAGCTCTTGTCTTCTCTTCCTACTTTGCACCCTGTATTGCTGTGAAACTCCTTCCTACTCTCAAATCAAATTTTCCTATGCCTATACATAACTGATTTGCTGTGAAGTTCAATTATGAGCAACAAAGAACAGATAAAGCTAAAGGCATCTAAATAGAATCAATAACATCCTGTGATATTCATATTTCATGCTGAGATTTGACAGGCCAAAAATCTGAATGCCTTAAGCAAAAAAATCTCCCAAACAAACAAAAAGAATCCCAAACACCACCCAACAAACAAAGTATAAGCTAATACAAATCCCCTGGAATAAATGAATAATGGGGTAAGGCTGCAAAAAGACCAGCGTAGTTTTGGGCTGCAGATGTTAAGATATCAAATCATGGATTAGGAAGACAAGATTCATTTCTATACAAAACCTGAAATATTTAGTGTTGAATTTCAGGCTCTAGTTTACCAGAAGGATACTGACAAACTGATAGGTGCAAAGGAAGATGAATCATTGGTAGGGTGGGATGAAGTGATTTATTTACAAAGACACATTCTAAAAGGTATCTGTAATTTGGCTGTGAGAAAACAAGTGGGGAGATATGCTAAAAGCCTACAGATATTTGAAGGGTGTAAACACTAAAGGCAGAAATACATTATTTTGTGTGATGCCTGTGGATAGATCTAGAAGGAACTGGATGATATTAAGAAAAGGAAAATGTAGGCTGACAACCTTCCTGTCAGTGAGATGTATTAGATTGTGAAATAATCTCCCAAAAGAAGTGGTGGAAGCCTTGTTACTTGGAACTTTTAAACCTTAATTGGCCAAAACATAAGAACATGGACCTGAAGGGTTTTTCCTTACATTGACAAAAAGATGAACCGAGTGATCTTTTTAATCTCTGAATTCTCTGATTCTAGAAGATGTACTGTATTTAGCTGTTCTTTCTCACCCCTGCAATCCCCAAAGAAATTGTGCTGGAGAAAAAAAAATCTGATTTTTTTGTGGTGTGAGTGGAAAAGTGATTTGGTAGTCTGTTGGAAAATGTGTTCGAGAAATAACCAAAATTGGCAAGATTATCATTTAATAACATTGGCCAAAAACCACACTGATAAATAGTTTTGGAAACATTCCAGCCATTTAAAAAGAGGCAATAAATAAATGACATCCCCAAAAAGTGGGATAGCCTCCATTTTCTTCTCACACTTGAGGAACAACAGTGCAGTTTTTGTGCCAAGAGATAGGGAACAGCTGCTTTTCTTCATCCTCACCTGTGCCTATTTTCTCTGAAAGATGATTAAACTTGGCATCACGTGAATGGCAGTGAGCCTCAAAAGTAATGGTGACAGCTGGCTCTGGTAGAGAAGATTTCTTGCCAAGCTCATCTTGTTCTTTAGGTGAGAGAAATGCTGACGGAGTCTCTATGTAAATAACTGGGAAGACCTATGTTATGTTATCTTTTTAATTCCAATGACTATGAATATATTACATCTGCTTATTTATTGCTCAAGAAAATTCAGAGATTTTAGGGGCTCAATTTTAGCTCTTGTTGCCAGAAGTGCTTAGGTGTTAGGGGGACTGGATATTTAGTAGCGGATCAGATTATTCCTGAGCCATTCTGTCTAATCTGGATACTGGCATGATGACTTAAGGATAGGGACCCAGGTGCAGTACACTCAGCAATGATCCTTATGGCTGGACTAAAAGAAGAGCAGTGTACATTATTCCTGTCATCTACTTTCATATATAATGAGGTGCTAGGAGTTTACAGGGTGTTTGGCTACACACACAAGCCACCTATTCTTGCCCTATTGGGGTTTAAGAGCACTGCCTAGTAAATCAGCCAGGCCCCACATCTAGCACTCAGTGGAAGATTTGGTCACAATTCTGGATGGCTCCTGGGAGGATAAAGGTTGCCCAAGGCCTTTTCTTTCTAGAATAGCCATAGAAGAGGAAGAGGATTTAGTGCAACTAAGTACTAAGGTTTTTGCAAGATCTGGGTGGTGGATCATAAAGGGTAATATGTGGTATAGCACTGGTGATAATGTCAAGTCAAACCCCCATCAGTGTATGAGAGTCACAAGGTATTGAGATCTTACTCATCCCTATAAATAAAAATTAACACAAACAGGAGATTATAAATGCAAAATGATTCATGTGGGGGAATATCACCCAACCACAGAAAAATAGGGAGTTCTGGACGAAGAGAAATTAAGATAAACATGGTCTTACTTCATTATTCCCAGAGCAATAACCCCAACACAAAGACACAGTCTCAGGATGGGAGTATTGAAATAAAGAAGTAAAATCCTCAAAGGAAGGGTAATCTCTCAAAACTTTGTTTAAAAAAAAAGAGAGCGAGAGACCCTACCATATGAAGTGTTTTTAACGCCCATTGCATCCATGTGGAACAGTTATAAATATTTCAAGACAAATGCCATGTTGAGATGTGTTGATTATAAACATGTTCGGTTCAATATTCTCTGGTTACCCTGAAGTTAATTCCTTCTTTTTTCATACCATAAGGGTTTCTGCTAGTCCGAGTTCATGTGGAGGTTTTTGTAAGTACAGAAGCAGAACACTTGTTTATGAGCAGGGGTTTACTCCTTGTTCCTGCCACCTGTGTGTCTGTGAAAAAGATTAGTTGATTAAATGGCAGCGTATGTTTGTATGAATGGTATGTTTGTTTAGGGGGGTCTGTAGCATCCTCTAGTGCTGCATGTGTACATAAATAATACCACTGGCAACGTTGAAACATTTTGTTGTGTTATCTCAATGATCATATTGAGCTCATGAGCTGTGGCATTGCTGGGGAGTATATGGGCTAGATTCTTCAGTCTGCATAGGACACTTAAGCGCTTACAGGGAGGGATTGTCCCTTTGTTCTGTTTCTACAACATCTAGGGCAAGGGGTTTCTGGTCTATGACTGAGACTTCTAGACTCAACTGCACTATAAATCATAAATAATAATTTATGTCACATGGCCTGAGTATCTGCAGATGGCCAGCAGACAATTTCCCCTCCATCAGTGTAGCCATAACCTGCACCAGCCACAACCCACCACTGGTATATGGGGAAGAACAGGGCATATCAGGGGTGTGGAGTAGCAGAGGTCAGACAGAGAAGAGAAGATCCTCTGTGGTTTGTAGCTAATATACAAAAGAATATCATAGGCTTACCTACCCATGTTTCTTTCACTCATCTGACTGAGAACTGGTGTGTAGGAGCTGTTAGAAGCTGTGTGGCTTCCCATTACAGGTAATGTTGTTTTAGTTGACTTATGCAACAGCCTGAGGAAAAGTTATCATCCTCTGCTTCAATATTTGTACATAGAGGACTAGGTCCTCAACTGGTGTCATTTGGCGTACCTCCATTGAAGTTAACCTGAATATCTGGCCCCAAGGATGTAACACTAACTTTCACAGGAAGAGGAAGAGAGAAAACATTTCTTTCTGAACAAAAAGACTAAACTGTCATTTTACACCATGTGTAACCAGTTATTTCAGATTTAGAAATGATAGCTGCAGAATAACAGCCTAAGAAAACAAAAGCACAGAGTGACCCAACCTCTACTCAGAGGAATTTTAAAAATGTACACCGATTTGTAGCCCTAGCACTTTGTGCTGCAGTCGCAAGTCTCAGATGATCAAGTATCTCAGGCCTAGTTAGAATTTTGAATGCAATTTTCTCAAAATTGCAGGAAGCGTGTTGATAATTTAGTCAGAGGCATTCTTTCATGTGACTCAGAACTGAGCAAATGCACCTATGTGATGGCAATTCCATTCCAGTTAGGTAATCCTGTAGAACCAAATCTTGCAGTCTTTTTGTGGGCAAAATTCCACTGGGCTAAACTCACAGTGGCAATCATTCTGTCTACCTACAATTTTTTTCTCT